TTTTAAAAAAAAAAAAAAAAAAAAAAGGAGGGTAACTCTCTCAAAACAGCACAGAACGAGACCACATTTGGTCTGGAGGGAGAAACCGGCAGAAGAAAGATGGAGTTCCAAAATGGGCTGGATTCAGCTGGGATTTCTGGAAAAAAATTATCCTCATTTTTTTTCCAATGCATCCCAATGGGAGAGGCAGTAAGACAATGGCTCAGGTTGTTGCTGACTGCTCAGTTCTAAGGCCTCCCTTCTCCCTCTAGGTCTCATGACCCACAGGGTAGCATACACTGCCCACCCCATGTTTCCCAGCACACATGTACATGTAGATGTATAGTTATTGCTCCAGAAACTCTGTTCTGTATGGTTTATTTGCTTTGTGTAACTTTTCGGTAACCCTGTTAGGTTAGAGAGAGGTAATAACTGACTGAAAATTAGGCACTATAAGTGGAGGCTTCCTTTTTTTCTATTTTTAATCTGATGCAAAAAGTTTGTTGCTGCTGTTTTCTTAATTTTTTCTCCATTTGTTTTAATGTATAATGTGCCTCTCTTGTGTGCTTTTGTGGAATAAAAAGGTATAAAATGAATTAGCAGTTGCTGTCACTTTCACTCTGTCCTTCAGCCTTATATCGATCTGGGAGCTCATGCGATTTGCTGTCTCACTATCCCTTAAAGCAGTGTTTTTCAACCTTGGCCACACATCATAAAGTTGCCAAGACTGAAAAATACTGTCTTAAAGAAAATGAAGCATTGTAGATAGAATAGTTTGCCTGTCTTTAGTTGTTCTGATCTTTGTCAGAGTGGGAAACTTTGTACTATTACAAGTTATGCATTGTAGAGGCCATGAAATGTAGGTAAATTTGTTGTTAAATTTTGAGACCTTAAAAGTGCATATCCTAGTTTATGGGGAGAGGCAAAAGTGGAAAATGACTTTGATTTTCATAAGTAATTTATGGACTAGGTCTAATAAGCATGGTGCTTTATTTTATTAAACTAACAGTAATGCATATATAGACAAAGTGGGCTTGCAAAACATAAAGACAGTGCAAAATAAGATTAAAATGTAATCTTATACGGAAAACAAATGGACAGGCAAAATCAATAACAATTTAAAATTGAATTGTAGTTTTAAATACAGGGTATACAGTAAATATAATCCTGTTTTCTGTTAAGAGAGAAGTCTTATTGGAAGAAGGTCCTCCAGCAAGACTGATCCAAGCCAAAAACAATCAAGCAGCATGGGCCAGTAGATTTCCCCTTTCTTAACAGAGGAAGGTCCCCTTTCTGACCTTTCGTTATATCTCTACTGGAACAGTAGCATTAAGATTCTTAAAAGGGTTTTATTTTTCAAATTGTAGACAACCTTCTTTCTCAAAAATTACAGTCTAAATTTTAAACAGTGGGAGGAGGAGCAAAAGATGAGAGTTGATGGGGTAGAAATTTACTTCATATAGCTCAATCCTAAACGTGTTTACCCAGAAATTCCACTGAATTCAGTAGGAATCACTCTTTTGTAAATGGATTCAGAATTGCTGCCTATGCTTGGTTTCATCAGGGAGTGAAGATTAAGGATCTATAATTAAATGCACATTGACCCTGCAGTGTGAATTCTTAGTTCATGGGGCAGCAGCCGGAAACTTAAAATCAACCGTTCTATTTGTGTCTGTATTTTGAGTTCAGTGTACTGCTAGAATCTTATGACTTCTTACAATGAAATTGATAGACTTTTATAGGAGATGTGAATGATTCTATTTGATAAACTTCACACATATTCCCTTTAATTCCAGACACAGTGACCATGTTTGGGTTAAAAAGTAGGTATAGTAATTCTAATATAATAGGCAGAGATATTTTATAAACTTAACTTTTTTTCTTTTTCTAGATATTGAAACAAATGAAGTACATTTTGGTAACAGGCGGTGTTATCTCTGGGATTGGAAAAGGAATCATTGCCAGCAGCGTTGGGACAATCCTCAAATCATGTGGATTACACGTCACTTCCATTAAAATTGACCCATACATTAACATTGATGCAGGCACTTTCTCTCCTTATGAACATGGTAAGATGAGATGAAAAACTCTTCCTCCTCTTAATATAGGGGCAAGGAATGAGTACCCCTGCCCTTAAGTGTACTGTAGGTACTTTTTATTTATTAGTGGTGCAGAGAGTCCAATCTGTTTATTGGGCTATTTTGTGTTATTTATGTTTATAATTATTTATATTTATAATGCTTGTGTTTTTATTCTGTTTTACTTTGTTTTAATTGTCAGCCACCCAGAGTCATGTACATCAGATGGGCAGCCATATACATTTATTAAAGAGATAAAGAGGCTTTATCACCCCTCCCTCTGCCTCCACCTGAATTGCACTCAAGGCTCCCCGTGCCTGCAGTTTGCGTTGCTAGAAATCTCCATTTCTGTAGACTGTTCAGGGCAATGAAAGTGACAGGCAGAGGAGTCCTTGCTAGGGTTTGGTCTATAGCAGGAAGCGAGTGTGATGCTCTCTCAGAAGGATGGACAGGATGCTCAGCTGGCATCACCATTGCTAACCAATCTGGAAGATGCTAGATTTGGGAAGGATGTTTTGGGCATACAAACTTGGGTATACAGAAGAAGGTGACAGGGAAGACTAATCTGTGACTCATTTTGTTTTAGGTGAGGTATTTGTGTTGGATGATGGAGGGGAAGTGGATTTGGATCTGGGTAACTATGAACGGTTTCTTGATATCCGACTCACGAAAGACAATAATCTGACTACAGGGAAGATATACCAGTATGTCATCAACAAGGAAAGGAAGGGAGACTACTTAGGTAAAACTGTTCAAGGTAAAGTATTAGAAATGGATCCATTCTCCTTTGACTGTTGCCTTTGGCTGGGGACTTAGTGTAATTTCAACCATAAAGATCATGGTTGGTTGGTTATGTACTGTAGCTACCGTATAGGTGGTTATTTTTATAACCTATATGGTTATGGAGATGAGAAAGTCGGACATCTTGAAATATGACTAAAAACATTGTTAAAAAACATCTCTTTCCAATAATATAAATAATTAAAGAATAGAATGATCGTTAGAGCAATTCAAGGATGTCCACAGGGTATGGTCAAAAAAATCAAGGTATCGGCTGCAAAGGTGCAATCAAAGCTTCATTAATTTTTTTATGTATGTCATGTGAGTGGAGCTTTGAACGCATTGTTACAATCACCATCTTGACTTTTTTGAGCATACACTGCACACACACCCTGGAACACTTGATGGTATTCTAGTTGCATTTGCATGTTGCTGTAAGCCAGAACTGTGGAGAGATTTGGATTTTCATTCAGGAACATGTTTAGGAGAATGCAGTCACTTCAGCCAAAAGGAATGATAAACTATCCAACACTGCATTAAAATAACCAAGTTGGTGGGCATTGGGTGGCATCCAAATCGAATTAATAAAATGAAATCAATCAGAAGTTCATCAAGAAATGAATGTTTAATGTTAACATGGGACGATTCTAATTGAAGTTCTTGGAACAAGCCAAAGTGTGTAGTCAGAAATTATTGAACCAATAATTTGGTTAAAAAACATCTCTTTTTATTATTTTGCAGTTGTGCCCCACATTACTGATGCCATCCAGGAGTGGGTAATGAGACAAGCACGGATCCCAGTAGACGAAGATGGCGTAGAACCCCAAGTCTGTGTGATTGAGGTTGGTGTCCATTGCCTTCTATTCTGTTGCCAGGATTTCAGACAAAATATAATGTATGGGTTGATTATTGTAGTCTGGGTATTGCTAAAGATGCTGGAAACCATTACTAGGTTCATATATCACCCCAACTTGGTTGTTGCTTAGCATCATACATTAGCCCCGCCACTTTTTAAAAAAAATGGTCTGTGGCTTAATGTGATGTTTGAAGATAGCCAATTGTTCCTGGTTCAGTGAACTATGACTTAATGGATGTGTTTCATCTACCATCATCAAGCCCTTTTCACCTAGTACTGTGTGGGGATGCATAATGCAAATTAAGATGCCATTGACAGTGCTTCAACCAGAGGTACAACTTTTGTTGTACAGGTACAACAATTCCAGGTACACCTGGAATTAAGAACTTTGAGAGTAACTTCCTGGTAACTCAAGATAGGCTTAAAAAAGATCAAAAGAAAAAATGGGGAAGGAGAAGGAGAAGAAGAAGAAGAGAGAGGCTTTGTTCCCCAGCTGAAAGATAAAAGATTCTTTCCAAGGCCAAAGGAACATGAATATTGGAAGAAGAGGGCAGGATAGAAAGTCCTGAAGCAAGTAGCCAATGGCTGGACAGGATTGAATCCAGATTGCCTATAAAACTGCATCTCCCACCATCTTCCCTTTGAAGAGGTTTTGCCAGCTTGGTGAGTCAGTATCCATACAACCAAAGCGTAAAGAAAAAAGTAAATGGACTTTCCTGGTTTCTCAAGACTAGGGAATTTGCCAGCTATAGTTGCCCACTAGTAAGGTAAGCCGGAGACACCTGGGCTCTGTGCCTGTTGCTGTTGCTCTTCTTTTCGTCTGTTTGTTCTGAAGCCATGTTTAAAGAACAGGCTTCAAGGAGCAGATAGCAGCTGCTGTGCAAAGAGAATAAGCTTCTGCCTGATAGGTCAGGGATAAGCAGGAATATATCTAGTGTCATTCTTGCATTCTTTGTGGGCCTATCCCTAAGAGGCCTGGTGTCTTTAGCTCTCTCACTGCCCTAATGATAACATTAGGAGAGTCTTCAAGGACCATGTTCCAGGCTGTATGTGGTCCCGAGCTTCAGACTGTGCACCCTGTGTTAAAGCAGTGAAGCTTATTCTCCAGCTAGTTTTCTTGGAAGCTAACATTTTATAATAGTTTTAAGAATATTTAGAGAAAATTAAAGACTACTGGCAAAGCTTGGAAAAGCCTCAGGACCTCTCTTTAACCAGACTGAATTTGTGGCAGACTAAAAAAACAACCAGATTGGATGGGATCAGAAATGAATTTTACAGGTAGTCAGTAGACGAGGGCTACCTGTAATAACATATGGGTCTCACTGGGAGAGATGGGCTATGAATTAACTTCTTTCCATTTAAATCAGTAAGCGCAACACAGCCTGGATGGATTGTTATGGTATGCACTGTTTCACATTTGATTCCATAAGCTGAATTGTTCTGCAGTGGGATTTGGGTGCAGGATTTGTGGTTTAAGAAAAGAGCACAGTGTTTAATTTTAGATGTCTGTATTTTAGCTTGGAGGAACAGTGGGAGATATTGAAAGCATGCCTTTCATCGAAGCATTCCGCCAGTTTCAATTCAAAGTCAAGCGAGAGAACTTCTGTAATATTCATGTCAGTCTAGTTCCCCAGGTAAGATTCCATAAGGCAGTTCCTTATGGATTTTTTATATCATGTTGCTTTTTCTGTCTTTAATCATGTGAAGCTGTTTGTGGAGTTGGGTGGCCTAGGAACTGGGCAAATAAACAAGTAAATAGATAGATTGCAGGAATGACCTGAGTGTTTTGGAACAGGTTGGAAAATAAATCTGATCTTAATTTAACACATTGTCTTCTTGTTTATATTTCTTGCCCTGGACCTGTTAGCCAAGTTCTACAGGGGAGCAGAAGACAAAACCCACCCAGAATAGTGTTCGTGAACTTCGGGGCCTTGGTCTCTCACCAGATCTAGTAAGTTTTGCTGTGATGTATGTAAAAAATACTGACTGGATTTCACACCACTGTCAGGCTGAGGCTGGGAAGGTGTTTTTCAGCAGTTTGAGAAGTATGAAATAAATTGCTATGAAAGTGGTATATAAATCTGTTCACAGAAGCTAAGAATATATAATGTGCTTAATTATTCTTTGACTAGCGGCCCAAGTTCTGTTTGAAGGTTAGATATAAATCTGGGGAATATCTTTTGAAGGTTTCATTATTTTCTTTATTAGATTGTGTGCAGATGCTCTACACCTCTGGATACCTCAGTGAAAGAGAAAATTTCCATGTTTTGTCATGTAGAGCCAGAACAGGTAAAGTTGCTTCAAGTTAACTTAGTAACATTGGGCATGTATCTTTGCTTTCTGCAGGCGATTTCAAGTAATAGCTTCTACATGCATGGATCTAAGTTTTGATCTCCTATGTAACTTTAATTCTTTGGTGGGAAAAAAAGATAGAAATGCACAGGGCTAGTTTTCACCTGTTTGTCACCAAATCTTGTGATGAATTGTAAGAGGTGCTGAAGCATTGCCTGTAGGCTGCGCGTTACCTATCCTTCCTTTTCATCAAAGCTGTGGAGACCCACATCTGTGTCAGATCAGAGAATTCTGTGCAGAAGATTCTATGGATGTACAACCCCTTTCCCCCCACTTGCTTGGACTTGCAATGCACACTGTTTTGATTTTCTGATTGCCAGAGCAGCAGTTAGTTCTGCACATCATTATGTGTATTTGTGAATATGGCTGTAAGATCATAGCGATATTTGCTTAACCAGGTAATTTGCTTTGCTTAAACAGGTAATCTGTGTCCATGACGTCTCTTCCATCTATCGGGTTCCTCTGTTGCTAGAGGAGCAAGGAGTGGTTGATTATTTTCGACACAGGCTCAACCTTCCCATTGAAAAGCAGCCCCAGAGAATGCTTATGAAGTGGAAAGAGATGGCAGACAGGTGGGCTTCTCTGGGCAAACAGTAATGCTGTTCTGGCTCGTTTCACACAACACAGTAAATCCTAAAACTAAGATAACAAAGCACAAGTGCTGTGCAATTTGATAATGCTCAAACAAACCGTATTATTGCTTGCAGTGATGGCCTGGTTAACGCAACCAGCTAAGACAACCACTGGATTCCCACAACACTGAACCGTGCAGCGCCCAATGTTAGATTGCCAACTTCAGACCACGGATGAAAGGATATGACATGGAATGCTCCATTGTAGTTTTTTTTTTTTAAAGCTAGGATTATATGGAGGTATATTCTGGACCAGTTTGTCTCCTGACCTGGAGACACATTTTTGGTTAGCCTGGCTCTGGCTGAGCTAAGTTTCAGTTTGCAGAATGTCCTCAATAGAGCTAACTCTGCATCCGAACATAGCATACCTGTATTTTTAGATGGTACGGTCTGTTTGGCAACGTTGGCCATTTGCATTTTATCTAAGTCACTGAATGTGTGGGCCGGGCTTAAGAGGATTTTGGCGAGGGTGGGTGGGGTGGGTGCTTTGAGTCAGAATTGAGTCTGGCGGTCATGTGGACAAATTTGTGTCATTTTTCTAGGCAGCAGTTTCAGAAGTGGTTGCACTTGCCTTCTCCCTGAGGCTAAGGGACAGTCACCCTACTGGTTTTTATGCCTAAGGCAAGACTAAAAGTCAGGTTTCACTGCTTCTAGTCCAGCACCTTAACCACTAGACTAAACTGTCTCTTGAGGTGTTAATATACTGACTTTTTCATTTCCATACTTTTTATGTTCAGTTTTTAAAGTTGCGGCCTTTTGTTTTTTATGCAGATACGATCGCTTGTTGGAGACCTGTTCTATTGCCCTTGTTGGCAAATATACAAAGTTTTCAGATTCGTATGCCTCCGTCATTAAAGCCTTGGAACATTCTGCTCTAGCAATCAATCACAAACTTGAGATAAAGGTATGCTTTTTCCACTGACTGGAAAAAAATGTTCGTGCTTGGGTTAATTTGGAAGCTGAAAGCTGCATGGGTTGTCCACCCTGAGTTGAGATTGGTATTGCATCTAAAGTGCTAATAATTCTGGCACAAAAACCTATTATGCTTACCGACAACAACAAAAACCAGCCCACCTTAGAGTCATATTCAGCAGTGTTAGAAACTGTAGAGCTTATTATTGAGATAACATCAATACAAGCATTGATAATGTATAGAAAAGTCTTTGGGATGTTGGTACTGTATCAGTACCCCAGTTGGCTACCATACTTTTCCATGGCTATAAACTTAATGGGGAAAGTGGATCAAAAGATGTATACCAGTATTTCTTAAAGCGTGGTCCAAGGATCCCTGGGGGTCCCACAAGACCTTCTCAGTGGTCCACGAAATCAAAACTATTTGCCTATTATTGAAATATTGCCAAATACTTGCAAAAATTTAAAACAATGTCACTCTTTTCATTATTTTATATTTTTAACAAAATAGGTTTTTTTAATGAAAATATTTATCCAATGGGTTTAATATTGTTATTTTTACATGTTTCAATAAATAAATATTCTACGGATGAGTCAGTTTTAATTTTTAATACGGTATATTTATAAATATAACCCACACAAACAAAAGCTCTTTGGGGATCCTCCATAACTTTTAAAAGTGGGAATGGGTACTGAGAACAAAAAGTTAAAGAAACACTGACGTAGGCAAATCCTTCAGTCCCTCAAGAGAGGACTAAAGGCCCCTAAGAGTTTTGATTGTTTTCAAGGTCTATTAACCAAAATGGTAACTTGATCATTAAAATAATCTTTTTTTATCATCAGCTTCCTACAGCTGCATTTTTCGTTGGCTATAAACTATTTTAAGACGAAAAAGCCTCCAAGGTCTATAACGTGGAACAGCTGTGTCCTGTGTTGTTGTAGAAAACAATTAAGATTACAAATGAAAATCATTCAGTCCATATTTTGTCAGGTCATAGTGTAATCAAGCCAATGATCAACAAACATTGTCATTCAAGATCTAAAATTAAACAGTCTTGCTCTTTCTTCCCAGTATATTGATTCTGCTAATTTGGAACCGGTTACTCTACAAGAAGAACCCGTTCGATACCACGAAGCCTGGCAAAAGCTCTGCAGCGCTGAGTAGGCATTCATCACCTTGCTTTCCATAAGGAGAAAATGTCTCCTGCTGGTTTTATTGCAGGTTTTTGGACCGCTTCCAGCGATAACTTCATTTCTGTTCGGCCAGACTGGTTGAAAGAGTGTCAAAGTATCTTTCTTTTATGAGGAGGCACCAGGCCTTATTTTCTGTTTCTCAGTGTTGGGGCGAGGTGCATCAGAAACAAGGTTCTGTTGATGGCTCTGCACTAATTCCAAGTGGTTTTGAATCTCCTGGAGTTGTATAGAACAGAGCAGTGTTTCTCAGCCTTGGCTGCTTGAAGATGTGTGGACTTCAAGTCTCAGAATTCTGGGAGTTGAAGTCCACACATCTTCAAGTGTCCAAGGTTGAAGAACACTGGAATAGGGTGACATATAGAATGAGAGAGTCCTAGGGTTGGAAGGGACCTTGGAGGTCTTCCAGTCCAACCCCTTGCCCAGGGCAGAAATCCTCATTTCATCCAGGACAAAGTGCTGTCCAGTTTTTTCTTGAAGACCTCCAGTGTTGGAGCGCCCACAGCTTCAGGAGGCAGGCTGTCCCACTGCTTCATAGCTCTTACAGTCAAGAAATTCCTCCTTATTTCAAATTTGGATCTCAGTTAACTTCCACCCATTGGTTCTTGTCTTATCCTCTGACACTCTGGATAATAAATTCACATCCTCTTCCTTGTGACATCCCTTCATGTATTGGAGGACTACTATCATGCCTCGCTTCTCTTCTTTAGCCTAAACATAGCAAGTTCCTTTAACTGCTCTGTTTATAAATAACATGATAAATAAGTAACTGTCATGTAGAAGTTCCTTGTTCACAAACCACAACCCTCTTGTGATGATCATATGATTCTGCCACAGAATGAACAAATGTGATTCTTTTCAGCCCAGTGTTATTGATATGGATGGCAGGGGCTCTCTAACACTCAAGCAGGAGCTTTCGCAGCCTTTCCTGGAGGTGCCAGGGGTTGAACCCTGGACAATCAACCTTCCATGCTGGGGAGTTACTATGATTTGCAGGTCTGTCACAAATTTCAGCTGCAAATCCCTGCTTGGCTGAGGCTTCTTATTCTTGCTAGTGACTGATGTTGCAAAAAGCTCACATTATTTTGAACAGTGTTTCCGCATTTTATTGTCTCACTTCATAGTGACTGCATAAACATTAACATGGAGAAATTCTCACTGGATTAACACATTGGGCTAAATCATGATTGTTTCCACTAAAGTTGTTAAATAAAGCACCATGGCTGTGGTTTATAAACACAATAACTGGGATCACACAGCATCCTTAGCCCAAACTAGGCAAAGCGCATTGTGGCGTATTTTGCTGTATGAATCCAATTTATTTTCAGAGGACTAGGATAAATATAATGCAGAAGTGACGTGAATGCTCAGGTTTATCAAATAGACTTCCTTCTTTTTGTTTAGTGGAGTCTTGGTTCCAGGTGGTTTTGGTGTTCGAGGCACAGAAGGAAAAATTCAAGCCATTTCTTGGGCAAGAAAACAGAAGAAACCTTTCTTAGGTGAGAAAATATGCTTGAATGTTGGTTTTTTTGTATGGAGAAAGATGCAGCAGAACTTTGTCTACAAGGCATTGGGCCTTTCTTTGAGGGACCACCTGTCTCAACAGTTTCTGCCTGCCCAGTAAGATCAGTAGAATGGGTGGTCTCCAAGTCCTTTCAATTACGCAGTGTCATCTTGTGGGACCTAGGAAGCATGCCTTCTCTGCCGTGGTACCTGCCCTCTGGAACAGCATCTCTCCAGAGATCCATATGACTCCCATCCTTGTGATGTCCCCAAAGTCTTTAAAAACCTGGCTTTGCTCCCAGGCCTGGGGATAGAGTGGTTGTTGGACTTTCTTTGGTGTGTTGATGTTTGTTCCTTCTGGCCATACATGATTTTTTTCTTTTTCTCATGGTTCTCTACTTACAGCATAAGCTGCCTGGAGTCATTTGGAGCTGGGCAGCCTCTAAAATTAATCCAACCAATCAGATAAATAAATAAATAAATAAATAAATAAAATACAAGGTAGTGCTTTGACCATAAGCCAGAATTGAAATAGTCTTTTCTGTTGCACCAGCATGTTTGAAATGATGGGTTAAGGAAATATTGTTCAGTGTTATCCAGGAAACCTGTATCTGATTTCTTTGAAATCATATGTGAAAGGCCAGAGTTGTAGGGTCATAAATTATCCCAAGGGTCCTCCTGTACTTGATCTTCAGCTGCTTATGTAGACTCTGATTCTAATAAAGGGTCATAATGGGAGTTCTGTTGGGTATTTGAGGATGCCAGTGCATTATATCTCCTTGCTCTGTTTTCTGTAGGAGTCTGTTTGGGAATGCAGTTGGCAGTTGTGGAGTTTGCTCGCAATGTCCTTGGCTGGCAAGGTAAAGATGTGGGAAAATAAACATTTGGGCCTGGATTTAAGGATGCTAATCCTTAAAATCACTTGTGATATAATTGCTGTAGGGTGGCAATATACTAGAAACATTTAAATGTCAGTAAAGCTTTACATTCTCTTAAAATACTTGTATCCATTTCTCTTTACTCATTTTCTGTAAGAGTTTCTAAAGGAATGAGCTTTTAATTATCTAAATTGTTCACAGTACAAAATATGAATCTCCATGCTTTTATTGCTTTATTTATTAGCCTTAAATGTGCGAATCTTGTTCAAAAAGTATGCATGTATTTACAACATTCAAACTTATTTAATGGATTATTAAAATATACCTGTTGTATGCTAATGATTTGGGTAGGAATGTATTGGTCATGTTATGGTGAAGCATTTGCATTGAGTCTTAGGGTACTTTGTCATTAATGCTAATTAATGGAAAGGCTGTTTCCTATTGTGGACTGTGGAAATGTAGGTTTTTCTTAAGACCTGGGACTTTATATGATCAAATTCTGTGATCCACAGATGCCAATTCTACAGAATTTGACCCCAAAACTACACACCCAGTGGTAAGTATGATGGTACTTTTTAATCCATTGTGGTTTCTTTTCATGTATACCAAGAACATTAAAATCTTCCTATCTTCCTTCCTTCCTTCCTTCCTTCCTTCCTCCCCCCCTCCCTTCCTCCCTCCCGTGGCTCACAACAATTATTTTGAAAGGAAATTTAATAATGGTCTAATTAGAATGAATTACAGTGAGAATGATCAGATTTCCCCATAGTGTTATGATTAATGAACCTCTTTTAAACTGTTCTCTGATATTTGAAGATAGGTGTTTCTCAGTGGCTTGTTCTGCCATTTTTTTGTAGATATGAAAGTCCATATTGTATTTTATTTAATTTGGAGCCAGGGAGTCTCTCCAATTTGACCAAACAGGATGTGCATTTTTATATTTATTTGACTTTCTTTTCAAGAGTGCTTCAGATACCTTAAAAGTAAACTTTTGCATGTTTGTATATATGTACCTGTATGTTAAAAACATTATGAACCCTTGTGAGTCCACTCTAAAACTCATGCTGGACATGAAAAATACTATTAGCAGTTAGGATGGGTGTTTAAGGCCTTCTGCTGGATTGCTTATGCCAGAAACCATCAATTATATTTTTAGATGCTATGAAAATAAGCCTTCCTTTTTCTTTTTGCACTCTGGAGCATATATATAGGTGTTAATTTTGTCTGGGCCTACTATTAGAGGTTTCAAGAGCTGCCCTATAAGAAGGGTTTATAGCTTATATTTGTAAGATGTGTGGACTTCAACTCCCAGAATTCCCTAGCCAGCAAGCTGGTTGGGGAATTCTGGGAGTTGAAGTCCATACATCTTAAAGTTGCTAAGGTTGAGAAACCCTGCTCTATATAATCAGGTTCATTCTTATATTGGACCTTGTCAGGCATAGGCAGCTTTCAAGGCTACCTACCTCCGATGAGGCCCAATGCAAGGATGAAATTGGTCATATAGTGCCTCCTACTGGTCAGTAGTAAATGAAACAGCTTATACGTTTTGTTTTCTCTGCATGCTTGCTTAGCAATCTCTCTAGAGCATATATATAGGTGTTGTCTTAACTTCTTTTCCATCGCATCGTGCTCTTTGACTTCTCAGGTTATTGACATGCCAGAACACAATCCAGGTCAAATGGGTGGGACCATGAGGCTGGGCAAGAGGAGAACCATCTTTCAAACCAAGAACTCAGTCATGAGTATGCTTTGCTTAGCCCTGCTTTTTCCTTTCTCCTTCCTTTCTTTTGATTCCTGATTGTATTTTGATTGTACAAATGCCCAGGCTGCCTGGAAGTGTGGGAAATTATAGCTAGTGGCTGTTCCATTTTCCTATGACTTTTGGGGCAATTAATGACATTGGTAGTAGCTTTGTACAGAAGAAAAATATATACCTCAAACTGTGTATAATAAACGTAGGTATTCATAACAGCAAGATGTTGTGATGGCCACCTAGTGATTGAACACATTCACAGAGGAAAAGTCAGTTTGGAGGTATTAATTGTAACAAGAATCTCCAGGTCCAGAGAGGGTATATGACATCACTGAATAACAGCTGTTGGGGAGCTGCAGGTGGGGAAGACCATCGCCTTCAAGCCATTGATGGGCTTCTTGAAGCCCTTGGTTGAGATAAGATGCTTAGAGATACAGCATTTTAGGCTAGATGATAGGCTCATACATTCTTTGGTGGCATGCTGGTAAGCACGGGAACTGCTTTCTAATCAAGTTTGCTATAAGGGAAAGCAAATCAACACTATCCCAAGAAAAGGGATGGGGAAGGTATGGTATTAACAGGTATGCTAGTTTCTAATAAGCAAATGGCCATATATTTTCTCCATCAATAGGAAAACTATATGGAGATGGTGACTATTTGGAAGAAAGGCACAGACACAGATTTGAGGTATGGCTACTTGCAGGTAGAGAAGGGGGACTTTCTCCAAAGTCCAATTTAAAGAAAAAATCACCTGGTATTATTTTCTGTTCATAGGTAAATCCAGAACTGAAAAACTCATTTGAAGAGAAAGGTATGAAGTTTGTGGGCCAGGATGTGGAAGGAGAACGAATGGAAGTGGTTGAGTTGGAAGGTGAGCATTGATCTGTAGCCAGAAGGTTGATGTTGTTAATTGAGGAAACGTTTTAAGGGTTTCTGTGAGATTTATGGAAGTGTTCTTCCTTGGATAGAAAAAAGTATGAATTGCTACAATAGATATGAACTAAATTCTGGAATCATCAGAATAGAGATAGTAGGTCATCAGGGTTCAGTTTGAAAGAGTCCTTTCCTTTTTGTTCTTTGTAAAATGAATTTCAATGATGGTTGCACACCCCTGGCTTTTTATAGGATATACTGAATATTTGTGTAGCCTTATGAATAAATTGTTCTGGTGATTAAGCTAATAAAGCATGCCTTACTTTCTCTCCTAGACCATCCTTTCTTTGTGGGAGTTCAGTATCACCCAGAATTCCTATCCAGACCTATAAAGCCCTCGCCCCCTTACTTTGGCCTCCTCCTGGCTTCTGCAGGAAGACTCACACATTACCTCCAGAAAGGTTGCAGACTCTCCCCCAGGTAAGGTCAGCCTGCTGTATATCTTGGCCTTAAAAGAGCACTGAGAGCACTAACACGGTACTGCAAGGAAGACCAGTGAGAACTCTATCAGACAACTAAAATCATGGCATTTGCCAAAAGGCCCAAGAGCCACTCCTGGAGCATGGGTGGCCACAAGATTGAGCAGGTCTCCTGCTTCAAATACTGGGGATAGTCCTTCATTCTGCCAGCAGTGGGAAAGCCTATGGGGACTACGTTGTTGAAAATGCACAGAGGAGCTCATCTGCCATTCTTAAATTCTAAGACAAGAGGTGGCCATTACATACCTGCAGCACTCAGATTATTCAAAGCCAAGCCAATAGCTCAGCTTCTTTATGGTGCCCAGCTGGGCCCCTTCTCCAATTTTGCACCATTAGAATTTGTACAGTCCAAATTTGTAAGATCGGCCCTTCAAGTCCCAAAATGTGTCTCTAATACCACTCTTGGAATGGCAGTTTACTCTTCTCCCCTTTCTTTTGATTTGTGAGTTCCAAGCATTTGATCTTCTGCATCTGATCAAAGATAAATAAGTATTTTTGTTTTCACATGTTTCCCTTCATTTTTTAAATGATTGGTTCTGCATTATGCTTGAAGTTAGCCTGGCAGCAAAAACTTTCAAGACTTTTGTAGCCTATCTGATGCTGAATCCTCCTGTAACAGGTCATTATGTTACGAAATGTGTAAACCAGAAGTGGGATGAAGATGTGAGAAACATCAAAACTGGAGAAGCAGTTTGGGGGCCGGTAATTGATTCTTTAGGGCAGTTGTAATGCCATGGGCTGAGTGGGGCCCACCAGTACTGCTCTGTTTCCATGCAGCTCGTCTGAGAGCTGTTCTTTTCATTTCATTTAGGGCAGTGTTTCTCAACCTTGACAACTTGAATATGTGTGGACTTCAACTCCCCCATGCTGGCTGGGGAATTCTGGGAGTTGAAGTCCACACATCTTCAAGTTGCTACGGTTGAGAAACACTGATTTAGGGACACTAGTTCAGTCTCTGATTGCTGCCAAAGAGCCTTGCAATATGTATTCTTACCACCACTGCTGGTAAAGCTGAAATACCTTGGCAGAAACTGTTGTTAGTGCCCCATTTTTCTAAGATGAGGGGAGTCGAAGGCTAAAAATCTTGCCATCATGGCACCAACACAGTGAGATCGACTCTTTTGGTCACATCCTTCTGAAAAAGTGGTGGAAGGTGAGTTCTTCCAAAGACCTTTTGAGAGTGATCGTCATCGTTGTATTAAAGTTCCAATTTATTACCTAATTTGATTTATATTGTTGTTTTGGGTTTGGGGTGGCTTGTTTTGGGGTGTATTGTGGACATTTTTAGTGTGCGTTTTCTAGCCTTTCATGTTTTGAAGAATCTGGCAGCATATCACTTCAGTAAATTAACAAATAAATATTGGCTGCCTCAAAACAAGAATGGGTCCCTTTCAGAAGGTCTTTATATAAATGCAGCCAAGAAACCATATCTTCAGGAAAGTTAAGATCTCCATTGCTTGCTGTAGATCACAGTATGTTCTTTCTCTTGATTTCTCTTGCCTCAGTGGCCAGGAATTCAGGCTGAACCAATAGATCAGGGGCAGAGTTTGTTATGTATGTAAGAAAAATCTTGTTATTTTTCTAACAGTCTGAATTTTACAGGGACACCTATAGTGACAGAAGTGGAAGTAGCTCCCCTGATTCTGAGATCACAGAACTGAAATTTACTGCAGTGAATCATGAGTAAATTGCTGGTAAAAACCTATTTTTCTTTTTCTGGGTTTTTAAATGATCTCTCTTTCCCTGTTTGCTTGCGTCACGTTTCTTGGGGGGTATGTTGGTGGTAAAAATTACCAATTCAATTAGTTCAATTTTTTCAAAGGAACTTAAATTAGTTCAATTTTTAAAGTTCCTTTGAATCTAGCATTAGTTTCTATTGGTGCAAATGTTTCAAATCTAAAATGCAGGTTAACTTGAGCTGATAATGGTGAAAATCTGAAAAGAATCTGATTAATGGTGTATTGTTACTTTGAATGTTTTTAGGAAAAGCTCGAGAGGGCTACTTATGGAAGGTCTAGAACAGGGAGAACTGGGGTTTAAATCTCCACTGAACCATGAAGTTCTCTGTATGTTTCAAGACTGAGAAAGAGCAGCTAGGTTCAGACAGCTTGCTAAAGTTAACAAACACAATTGCTGTGTTCATATAATGTGCTCAGATAATGGCTGGGTTCCAAAACAAACTGAATTGCAAAATACCCACTCCTTTTTATCTCGGCATGTTGCATGAATGCAGCCCACATTGGTCACAGAAAGGAAATTTAAAAAATACCTATATGTGGACAGATTATGACCATGTGGTACCAGCAGCATCGAATCAACACATCTTTCTTTACTGTCAACTTTATATGGATATGTTATCTCTGCCTTATATCCCTTTTATTAACAAATAACATTCAAACTTATTTAATTTAAAACACACTCGGACTGGAATCCATCTATCTCCCTAAATATGGCACCGTTTGTTCTACCATTTCTAAGTACAGCAGGGCCGGAGAAATTAACTTGTGCCTGTGCTTCACAATATACAGCATATGATGATATATTTCATGTGTTTTTAGTCTGTTACAATGGTCTGTAACCATAATAAAGTTAATCTTCAAACACCACCACGAAGTGCCCTAACCAGTTCCACAAAATTAGTTAGTGGGGAAAAAACAGGGTGCTAAGAGTATGCTATTTGAACGAAAGAAAGAGAAGATATAAATGTATTTTTAAAATACTAATAAATTTGATTTAAAGCTCTCTGATCTTCTTCTCTCTCTTCATCCCCACCCCACCCATCATCCAGGTGTTGGAAATTCTTCATTGGACACAGCACGTCTTGGGGCTTTTGTAAATCATGTTATTGTAATTGTTTTTTGAGAGATCATGTCATTACTTTTGTTTTAAATTTTTTTAAAAAAAATTATTCCGAGAAATGGTCACCGATGCCTACTCGTGCTGAACTGTGAGCTTACAAACCTGAAGTGCAGAAGCTGAGGGAGGGAAGAGTCATAAAGATGCATAAGGAAGTTTAACTGACCATTTTAAATGCTCGTGGAAGATGCCACGCAGAATCTCTGTTCGGGCTTTCTGTTCACCTCCGTTGTCGGAGGCGGATACGATGCCATTGGCATCTCAGCGGCAAGGTGTACAAAGCAGGCTAGCCTAATCTTCACAAGTGTTCTAAACCAGTGTTGTCCAAACGTGGCCACTTTAAGATGAGTGGACTTCAACTCCCAGAA